TAAGAATTTAATCAAGAAGTCCACCGACTACGTACCGCTGAATCTAGAAACTGTCTATAAGGTAGAAACTTGTTCCACTTCCAACGCACCATGCCAACACGTAAGTACTACTTTTAAGAGACTTAAGCAGAACCAGGATGAGAGGTGCTGAAAGACACCATGATTTGGAGGTCCAATCGAGCGATTGCTCACCAGTTTGCGATCAAGAGACTCTTCAGCTACGCACAAGTAGAATTGGATGATTGAACCCAGCCATTGATACATATAGATGCCGAACTGACTCCAAAACCGAATATGAAGGGAAGAGAACCATTTACCGGATGGATTTTAGGTGGATGGGGCCAATTATCAGTCCAAATTGATACGTGCTGATTTGCTGTGGAAAGGAGGGAAAAAGAACGAGCAGGAGAGAAGCTATGCTTGTGACCATATTAATAAATGATTTACAAATCACTGAAGCTACTGGACGGTGTGAATTGGAATCGGGGATGGGATGGAAGGGGAAACTTGAAAACGATCAGTCCGACTTCCTTCGAAGGTCCTTGCCCAACTCCTCAGGTAAGACATGCACCGTTCGGTCGAAGATTTCCGACATGGCTATGTACGTTCGCTCAACCAACTCGTTCACGTGAGACTTGTCCATTCCGACCGTGGAGATTGGAGGCAGCAGATAAATGCCGTAGGGTACTGGAAGGGAATACATGGGAGAATACTTAATCGGTACCTTAACTTCCAACATCAGAAACAATTGTACCAGTGAGTCCGATTATTGCAGCGAAAAATAAAACAATAAATTTCAGGCAAGTGTGCCAATTGGAGATAACATAACGGCAAAAAAAATTCGACGCAAAGGAAGATATCTTTTAGAGTAGATTCGGACATTGACGGACATAAAGCTAAATAGGACTCCAAAATAGATTGTCATGCTGCCTAGGCAGCGGTTAAGCGGCCATATCAAAAGCCAAGTTGCAGAAGTGTAGACAGCTACACGTTGAAAGTGTGGAATGAAAATCATACCACAAATATTTGGCTTGGACTTTCGACAAATTCCATTGTATGAAAAAAGGTCATTTTCAATGAAATACAATGTATTCAGAATGGCTGTCCAAACATTCGACATAAGCCTTGGAGGACACGAAATGTCCTAGAATGGCCTTTAAAAGAACATATTTACGCTTGGATCAAGAGGTGTGCAAGTTCACTGGACCAACTTTCCACTTGAGAGATAGCAAAGGAATAAGCATTGCAAGGCCCAATTTAGTAAGCAGATCAGCCATGCCAATTTGTTTACAAAAAATGCAGACATCTGTTTAGTTCCACAGCGGAAATGGTTCACTCCTTAGGAAAATAGAGGTACTCCCTTAACTCTCACTGATCAGGCTAGTCTTCACTAGTGGACGAAATGTGGATTGGAGAAGCAGACATACACTTGGAGCATTGGCGCCTGTGCCAGTTAACTTGCAACTCAGTATACAGAATTTTAGCTTATTTAATCCAGCTGCTTTAGGAATTGAGTTTAAATGTGTAAGAAAGACAGGCTACGTAGCAAAGTAAACCATACCTGGGGTGAAGGAGAACCTCTTGTGATCGAGGAATGAATTGTAGCAGGAGACAACGACAGGTTGGATCGGAAGATGAGTCTGAACTGCCAGATGAAAGGCGCCCTTCTTGAAGGGCAGCAGACGACCCGAAAAGTTCCTTGTTCCCTCAGGGAACATAAAGAGGCTAACCTAAATGGAGATGAAAAAACAGTTTGTTATATAAGGCATTGACGAGGACGTTTGACGATTACATCCCGAAAAGAAACTTAAAAATGGCGGCAATGGGATGAACTGGAACGGATTAAATTAAACTTAGATCTAAATCAAGATAACTTTGACAAGTTAACTTTAGTTTATCCCTTAATCGCATCAAGAATTGCAATAAACCATCAAGTGGACTGGAACAAACAATAAGCTGGTAGCTATAAACCCTGAAGGGCACAAACCTTATCATTCACGATTTGCTCAGCTGCTCTATTCATTTCCAAGATAGCTCTTTCGTGGTTGGAGCGGTGAATGAGAACCGACTTTGTATAATAGAGAATAGCTCCAAGTGGACCGAAATACTTCAAAGTATCCTTTGCAATAACAGTGGATGGAAGCTTCCAAATATCTACGAGTGCTAATAAAAGCAAGACTCCTAAAGAATAAAGTCCAAAATGCCCCAAGAAAATGAGCGTTTCAAAAAGTAAGGAAACTCACACAAAACATCGATGAAACTTTGATGGTTGGCAATGTAAATGTATTGCTGCTCAGGATCGTAGGTCTCCAAACCAAATATTCGCGGTTTAAGACCCATTAATGTGCGAGCCAATCTGTAGACTTTCGTAAACTCGCTGAAAGCAGATAGAAAGGAAAAAATAGGAGAAACTAACCAACTGTTCTCATAACGCGGTTCTCCTTTGAGAAAGAATTTGAATGCATACACAGTCGAACCGATGAGTACGACAGAGGCGTAGATGAAATAGGCAGAGAAATAATGCACACGTGCCCGGGTGCTAGGAATGATAATTACCAAGAGGAAAAAACCGGTGATTA